GTATATATATATTACATATATATATATATATATAGTATATATATATACTATATATTAGTATATATATATTATATCGAATCTGCAACTACATATACTACATATACCGCCTTTCCTTGCATATGTGCACATACATTGCATTTATTGGAGTATATGATACCAAAGACCGTCTCTGCGCACCTCGAAGTTGACGACGCTGAAACGTATATATATCTGTCTGTATGTATGTATGTATGTCTGTATGTATGTATGTATGTATGTATGTATGTATGTATGTATGTATGTATGTATGTATGTATGTATATATGTATGTATGTATATATATTGAAAATTGTATATATACATGTACATATTGATAATTTCATAGATATATACACATAAAACAACGCCCAGCTACATGCACTTATAACATGGATATGTACACATTTTGGAAATGCGTAGACGTATGTACGTATTCTAAATCACGTAGATACATACACATTGTATACTTCCTCTATATCGTCACATTCCTTATCGAAGAGTATTGTCAAGCACAGAACAGGACACTTGTTCCCAACAGCACTATCGCCTGCTCATGCACACCCGGATTGTTCTGTTCTGCCATTTTTTAGACGCTTTTGGGTATCGATGACGATCTTGCGGATAAGTACCAGGAGCAACTCACGGAAGATCCCGAATTGGACAGACACCATTTACGTAGACGTTTTGAAGGCAGCACCCAGGAGATACTAAGACCCGGGGTGGTACGTTTATCGTTCCCGTACTTCATGGACGACAAGGCAGTGGACTTTATAGTCCGTGCAGTGTGTGCCGTGGCTGATTTTGGACATACGCTTTTGCCGGACTATACGTTTAATCCGGAGGACGCGATCTGGACCCATGTCAATTACGTCACGAAACTGTCCAAGAATCGCACATGGCTCGGCAATATTTCATATGCGAAGGTAATTATATATATATATACTCACATCTGCTGATGTATATACTTTGGTGAACGCATACAATGTATATACCTCTTATAAACGGATATACTTTGTAAACGCATATGTATACACCTCATATTCGTGCTGGGTTGTTAATGAATATTGGCCATCAGCATGCACGCCTGAACCATATGTTGCTCGGTTGTACTTCGCCTGTATGTATAATTGTTTACTTGTATGTACTACGTGAATAGATATACACCAACCCATATATAGTCGCACACCCTCCACTAGTAGAGTTTATCTCCATTGCGTTGTACCATGGTGCCCTGTGTCAAAAGTCTTGAATTGTTTCAAAAAAGAGTCGTATCCGTACCCTTGCCTTTGATATCCGAGTACATACGCGGAGGTAAAGCTATAGTCCACCTCATGGTTTTGAATGTATATGCGATACTATTACAATTAGTTCTGCGCTCGAAGCCTGGTCACATGTTTTATCACGCCATCGTACAATGCTTTTTCCCAAACGCTCCACAGACAAATGTTAGAGCTGTCTGGTGGCTATAGCCTGCATAGATGAATCCTGAGTGTTGCTTGCTTCCTCCTTCATACCAAAGTACCTATCATACTCCCTAAACCTACGTTTTAAGAATAGTTCATAGATCCATATTCTCAATGATAGTCATCTACCTGGGCAGGGTGTCTTTGATGTCAAAGCGGCTTCTAAGTTTACGTCGAGAAATAGAAAGGTAGTGACGGATAAGGACGGCAACGTCATAAATATCAAGAGCAACGACGACACGGATACCGGTACGTTTATGTGCATTGCGTATGCTGGTGCTGTTTAACTTGACCTCATGCATGTATACGTACAAGCGTCATTAACGCGAAAAGTCTTTGGCTGTAAGTCCTGCGTAGTTCCAGGCTAAGCGGTGACCCCACTGACTTAACGGCTGCCGGCTATGGTCTGAGTTTTCGCCTAGTCTATGACATCTGTCGTTTACGTATGATTAGATAAACGTTTTGACGTGCAGACTGGATGATATAGCACCCTCTAGTTTATTGTAAATATCCAGGCTCATAAGCTAGATTTAGGCGAGCGCATAGATACGACGAATCTCATGTATGAGGTTTGAAGATGGTTTGTTCGTATTCATTTTTACGTATGTATGGACCTGTGCGTGTCCATCATAATTACAATCAATATGTACAGTCGTATGTGAAATTCGATACCGAATCCACGTGTATTTGGGGCGATATATAGGAGGACCTGTGCGTGTCCATCATAATTACAATCAATATGTACAGTCGTATGTGAATTTCGATACCGAATCTACGTGTATTTGGGGCGATATATAGGAGGACCTGTGCGTGTCCATCATAATTACAATCAATATGTACAGTCATATGTGAAATTCGATACCGAATCTACGTGTATTTGGGGCGATATATAGGACTATAAATAGTACGTTTTTCTATCGTCACACATTTCTATATAATAAATACAAAAACGTGTGTATAAACCATACATCATAATCTATACACAGGCGTGTTCGATTTAGATGCCGTGTATGAGGAAGGCCTTGCGCTGCTTCAGCAGGGTTCCACAGTTAAGGGACTCCAACGCTCTAGTGGGGCGACCATCAGCCAAGACGCGTCGTGGCTCAGGTAGGTAGATATCAATTTAATTGCATAGGTCTGCATATGTTTAAATCGATGGCAGGATTGCTTGTTGATATCGATTCTGTAATTGATGACTGTTGGGTGTTGTTGCAGTTATGTAATCATATTCTGGACATACTGATTGGATATATTTATGGGCACTAAGGTTATATCTCCACATACTTCTCATTCACATAATATCATACAACTCGCATCCTACACAAACGCTATATCAGTACCATCGTCTTATACAAAGTTTTCTCAACGATGCTCTACGTCATCGGTGCAGGTGGTATAGCAACCCCGAAGAGGGCAAGGCCTCGGCCCCCACCGGACCGGTTTGTCCATTCACTCCCAAAGTGTACGATGAAGTTAGTAGTACAGCCAGCTCTGCACAAGAGCCTATATTGTACAAATCCTGTAGAGAAACATATGCCGCGCCTCACAGAGATAGTCAGGCCGATGGGGGTGGGGTGGCTGGGTCAATAGACCAGGACTCGGCTGCACCGGATGAGGGTGCGGAGGGTGTGCGCGAGGCGATTGGGGGTGCGGAGGGTGTGCGCGAGGCGAGTGGGGGTGCGGGCAGGATGCAGGATAGCACTGAGACGGTCAAAGAACCACAGACACAGACACAACTACTCGACTTCACCATTGAGCCGTTTGAAACGCCCGTGTGTCTGCTGCCACGCAAGCCGAAGAGTGCAGAGACTGCTGATGGAGACGGAGCTGGGGATGGGGATGAGGGAGAAGTGTTAGATACCGAACTGTTAGAGGAGGGCAATTTTACGCTGGATTTATTCGATGACGAGGATGCGATGAATGCGCTCAAGACGACCAAGGCGGCGATTGAGTTCAAGGAGCCGCCCACGAAACTGTTCAGGTATGTAGTGTGTAAGAGTGTGGATTGGATATATTTTCTGAAGCAAGTGTGGACCAGTTGTTATTACCTTGTTGGGCTAGTAGGTAGGAGTACCTGGGGATCTGTAGATACAGATCAAAACCGCACGTATGGTTGTCAAGCACCATCCATGCTTGACAACCAGGTCAGTACCATATCGATACATGGATGGTATACCTGGTAGATAGTGGTAGTGCATGGAGACTCACCTTCAGCCTGTCTCTACGTGCATACCCACTCCATACAGAACATTCCAACACACCATCATGGACATGGACATGATCAAAGACGGCGATAGCATCCTGCTGTGTATATCGGGGGGTAAGGATTCACTGTCCATGTTGCATCTCATGCGGCAATACCAAATAGAGGCCGCTAAACGACTGCGTATTAACTTCACCTTTGGCTGTGCCACGGTGGATCCACAGACGGAAGCGTTTGACCCGTCTCCGTTGATAGACTACATGAAGGCCCTTGACGTGCCATATTTCTTCATGAGTCAGG